CGTCGTCCTCCATCCTCTGTACCTGTACTCTCCTACATTTCCACAGTGCAGAGAGAAATAAAGGTGGTGAGTGACTGTATTCCAGTGCGTTTTGCCACGCTTAAACGTATATGTGAAAGTTCTTTTTCAGTATGGAGAGACAGTTTCAGTAGAGATGGGAGAGAATTCCAATGTCTTTTGGCCTACACGGCCTCTCATAGTCATGTAATAGACTGACCGACTGTTCGCGCTCCTGCCCGCTCCACCAGATTCAGTGAATAACAAAACGCACACCCGGATGCCTTCACAGTCATTGCTGGAGACTTCAACCATGCCAACCTCAGAACAGTTCTACCGAAATTTCACCAACACGTGAATTTTCCAACGAGAGGACAAAACACCTTGGACTTAGTTTACTCCGCACAGAGAGAAGCCAACAAAGCGAATCCCCTCCCCCACGTCGGGAAATCGGATTACTTAGCGATCCTGCTATTGCCCAAATACAGACAGAGGGTAAAACTCACCAAACCAGTTCTGAAGGAGGTGAGAGTGTGGCCTGAGGGGGCCGTGTCACAACTTCAGGACTGCTTTGAAACCACAGACTGGGAGATTTTCAAAACATCTGCCACCCACAACAACCACCCAGACATCGAGGAATACAAAAACACGGTGACCTCCTCCATCACAAAATGCATTGATGACGTCACAAACATATAACGCATCACCACTCGGGCCAACCAGAAGCCATGGCTGACAGGGGATGTCCACAGACTGCTGAAGGCCAGAGACAAAGCATTCAGAGCTGGGGATGAGGCTGGCCTCAGAACAGCAATGGTTAACCTGTCCCAGGGCATCAGGAAGGCAAAACAGGACTATACAAACAAAATAACCTCACACCTCCAAGACAGCAGAGACGCACAGAGCCTATGGCAGGGCATGCAGGCCATCACGGACTACAAGCCTGCGCCACAGACCTGTGAGGGCAACACCTCTCTGCTGAATGACCTGAACAGTTTCTTCGCCCGCTTCGAAGCACAAAACCACACTCACCCACAGAAAACCCCACCTCCCCCCATGACCAACCCCTGTACCTGTCCTCTGCTAGCGTGAAAAGAACACTAGCTAACATCAACCCACGCAAAGGGGCAGGGCCGACGGAATACCAGGCAGAGCGCTGAAAGACTGTGAAAATATCTTTCAGCTCCTCTGCACAGACATCTTCAACACCTCCCTGGACCAAGCCATCGTCCCATCACTTTTCAAAGCTGCCACCATCATACCCGTGCCGAAGAAATCATCACCATCTGGCTTCAACGACTACCGTCCCGTTGCACTAGAGGCTGACATTTATTCGGGAATCCCACGGGTCACGGAATTCCCGTGAGATTCCTGCAGGATGGGAGTCATCTTTGCTATTAATCACGGGATTTGGACGGTACAGGATAAATGGTTAACGGGAGCGGGAATCAACCAATAGCAAAGACGGAAAAAAAGTAAATGCACCATTTTTTAGTTTCCTTTTAATATGCCTACATTGTAGGCCCTACAATGTAACGCAATTAAAAAATAACTACATGACCCAGCCGTCCCAGAAGCCATCAGTGCTTTTTGTCACGGCTTACCGCCGGAATTCAAAGAGCAGTGATGGAGGGAGCTAACAGAAGTCGATGTGGCAAAGAATGATTTACAGTGCAAAGTCAGAAGTAATGAAATGTCTATTAAGTTCACAGAACTGGTCGGAAAGTCTGAAATATTATATAAGTTTCTGAGAGTAGAATGCGACGGTGCTAGCATGATGTACGCTGCTTGTAAGACATGTTTAGTCTTAGTCAAGTACGCAAGTGATTCAGGGACGAGCGGTCTGAATAGGCAAATTCGGGAAAGAATCAGCCAAGCGTCGCTTCCTTCATCAAGCGAAAATTGCCGTCAGGTGTCAAGTCTCGTTTGACCGACAAAATTGCTCGCATGTGCAGCCAAGACTTCAGAGCCTTTGCTGTGGTAGAGGGGAAAGGCTCTACTAACGTAGCACAGGAGCTGCTCCACATTGGAGCCAAATATGGAAGTAACGTGCAGGTGGAAGACATACTGCCATGTGCACGCACAGTTTCCCGTCACGTAGCCTTGGAGTTGGAGAGTAATTGTGCATGTGCGTATGTGTGAAAGAGAGAGACAGACACAGACAGAGAGAGAGAGAGACAGACAGAGAGACAGACAGAAAGAGATAGAGACACAGACGTCTTTGTGCGTCTGTGTGTTGTCATGTAATAGACTGACTGACTGACTGTTCAGGCTCTTGCCCGCTCCACCAGATTCGCAAAAAGTTTCATCCACCAAGCTGTCAGGAAGCTAAACTCTCTCCCCTCTCTCCCCACAGCCACATCCTCCAGGCTGTCAGGAACCTTTGTTTTCCCACTTAGAGGCAAGGAACCAAATATGATAACTTCAATGGCCTTGATTTTCTACATGAAAATAAACATTTTTGAAAAATGTCACAAATGTAGTAAAGTCTATTATGTTTTCCAATAACACTTGATTTTTTAAAACAATTTTAAAGTATTTCATTGAGTGCCCTATAAAGGGTTAAAGACAAACATAAAAGGTACATGGCTCGTAGATAAAAACTTTTAAAATGTACTGATTTGCTGTGCGATTTACTATCGAGACCATTTTTAAAACTGACTTTTCAAGAAAAGTAAGTGAGTAAAATTTTGCTATTTTCCTAAATAATATTGCGAGTTTATGTGGATTTTATTGATGTTTTTTTGGGGGGGGGGACTTGATTAATGTTGGCGTATTATTAGCCATTAGCCGCAGCTAGCAATTCCAGGCTAACTTCACGTTAATGATCATAAACAACGTAAATAAATAGATAAATAAATCAGAGAGTGTCGGCAGGTCAGCGGGGGGCGGCGTAGGTGGTATTGACTCTTTTGAAAATGAGTAAGGTATCCATGTACAGCTGTTTAGTATCCATACTTTTTGGAGTATCGATCATTTTGACAACCCTTATATTAACTCGTATTTTTCGTCTCTTAGGGAGGTCCTACCTAGAAGGTCCATGGACCCTATTTCAGGCCCCCCCCGCTTAAGATCCGCGTCTTGGCTACCAGGGAGCAGACGCGAGTCCTGTCCTGGGAGTTCGGGAGACGACGGCCACCCCAAAAAACGTCAAAATGAACAAAGTCTTGGCCATCAGTGATGAAAAATCCAGCCGTTTTTTAAAATATGGCAGTTTTAAAATCATTGAAAATTTTTCTTACAAAACAAAAGATAAGATTTAGTATCTTTGTGTTTTTTGTTTTTTATTTCCACACGTACATAAAAGCACAGTAACAACACATGTGATGATGATATTTGCCTCGATTTAGATATTATTCAAGTATTAA